CTCCATGGGATCCACTTGAAAGGATAAAGGAAATTCAGGCTGAACGAGTGCCGTGCTCCCCAAACACTCTTCTTCCTTCCCATTAAAGTGCATTACACGAGAGCTGGTGTAATTTAATGTAACCCATCTCCCCGAGCTCCCCCGTTGTGCATCTGAGCGCTCTTGGGCTGGACCAGGCACCTGTGGTCTCTGGGAGCTGCAGTGCTCCCTCTCCCCCTCCACGTTTCTGAATAACCCACAACATCTCTCTGGACAAGCCCGTTCCCTGCTTAGGCTGAATGCTTCCTTGCGGTATTTAAAGGTTTGTAAGTAATAACCACGAGCCCTTGAGAGAAGGACTCTTTGACCTTGCTTTGGGCTACTGTCTCCCCTCCCATTGCTATCATAACGTAGATTTGGTCGCCTTACATCAATTTTTGCCTACCTGCTTGGAGAGCCAAACCTTTCTTCAAGGGCAGGCGAGTCAGCCTGCCTCTTTGGACATCTTCGGTATCCATCGGTAGGTTTGCAGCGTGGGTTTCGAGGGCTGAAGGGAAGCAGCCTTTGCACAACCCCCTGAGCAGAGTGGCTGTGGCACTGGACAAGGATTTTGCTGGCAGATCAAAGGCTGAGTTGTTCAGCTTCCCACGCAGCCCCTTTGTCAGCCAGTTTATTTTGCCTTTGTCTTTGTCGACCTGTACTTGGGGACGCTAATTCGATTTTCCATTGAGAGGTGCGGATATCTATATTATTTTCCTAAAACTCCAGAGAATATTATAAATTTCTTTTTATTGCTTCCAGCCATGTTATTTAAAGTAATTAACCTTAATTTATAAATTTTTATATCAAACTGCCTTTTAACTTTTAGAACTGGCAGGAGAAGTCCATTTCCCAGGGCTCCTAATAGTTCTCCATTTAATCAAAATTCATCCATCAGATTCCAGTGTTAAATCATCTTTTAATTGGGAGTTACATTCTGGTTAATAGTTTTATAATTCGCCGCCTCTAATAGTTTTTACCACAGGGATCTACTCCATTTTTTCTCACTCTATTATTCCTGGTGTTCAGCAGGGACATTTTAAAAACGTTCACTTCCCCTGCCTGTTCTTTGTGATCTCATTAATTCTTGATAGCAAGTTCCCTTTCTCCTCATTACTGGAGCATAACTACCTTTATCACTAGGTGAAACCTTACTCATTTCTACAAGTGCTCTCCTTTTATTTATTTATTTATTTTTGTTTGCCTCTTCAGAAAACAATCTGCCATATATTTCAGCAAATAAGAATATTGTTTATGGTCTCTGCATTTGACATTATTGAGATTTCAGACTGGAGATGTTGGGGGCAAGAACTTTCTCTAGCTTAGTGTTGGCTCAGTGTGGGCCTTGGTATTAGGTAGGTTTTCTAGGAGATACTGCCCATCAAAATATGAACTATTAATATTAGTGACAGCAGAGAACAATCCGGGAGTTATAAAGGGAACTGATTGAGAGGAATCACTGATCTTTTTGGAAATTCATTTGCTGTATGCCTTGATGTCCTTTTCTCATAGCGTGTTCTGCGAACTGCTGCTGATGTCTGCCAGCACGGAGGAGCAGGATCGGGCCTCGCCACTTTTTGGCACCAAATGCTGGTTTCCTTGCACGTGAACCCTGCAGTGCAGCACTTGGTTGTCAGGCACGCCGCATGCAAATGGCCTCGCTCGATGCAGCTAAGCAGTTAGGGCAGTGCTACATTAGCTTGGTATCCTCCCAAAACAATAAAAAGAGCCCAAGGAGAAGTAAATAACGTTGTATACGAGGTAGTAAAAGCACACTTGTCGTTTTTCAAAAAATGCCTAGAATTAGCGTAAAATTAAATTTGAAACCTTAATTCTCCAAGGGCTGATTCTCAATTTGCAGATCCACAAAACCTCTGCAAATTACCCTACCAATCCTACTGACAGTCTTATAGGAATATGTTATATTGACTACCCAAAGTCAGCCTGTGCAAAGAAGAGTGCGTTGTAAAGTGCCACTGGTAAGGGGAAGGAAAGACAGTCTCCCAGGTTTGTATCGTAGGCCCTTGAACAGTCCTGTAGAATCATTTCATATGTAACTTCATGGAGGAAAAATAGGATGGACAAGTGTAGACAGAATTATTATACAATTATAGCGGTCCTCAGAATAACTGTAACACTGTCCACAGCCATTTTTATGTCTCCATAAACTCCTACTGCTGTGGTATTCTTTTAGCCCTTCTTTCGCCCCATGCGGTAATGTAATAACTTTTCCTACCTAAAGTATGCATCAGTGCGGTAATTTGATATGACAATGATTACGAAATACTCCAGCAGTTTTAATTGACTAGTGTTGAGATCATATCGCCAGGAAGAGACAAGATCTTATCTCGTGTATGACTTCCATCCCGCCTGTTACAATATTTATGTTAATAAGGATCACAGACATTAGCCAAGTATAAAGTCCTCAGCTATGGTAACTACATCTAGAAGCAAACAATAATTTCACAGACTGCTGGCCATCCTTTCCTTCTAGCGCATTACTGATAAATAAATAAATAAAGAGTTAGCTTTTTTTGCTAGGTACAAAATATATCTAATGAGTTTTTATGTCTGGAACCTAGATTTCAGGATTTATGTGAAATATTACAGTAATGCAGCAGTTAAAAAGTCCCCAAAGCTTGATACTGTATCTGAAGAAATTACCATAGAAATCTAAACCAGTATTATCCCTCCTGTATGCATAGCAGGCATACTATTACCTCCTCTTTTGTTGCTGCTGCAAACATTTACTTGGAGAGACCTTATTGTCAATGAATTTTTGACAGAGGTCAAAGTATTTCTGAGTGAAATTGAAAGAGGTCTGGGACATGTATCAAACAGCTGACAGCATCAACAATAGTGTGTTTACTCATCCCGCATGCTGGAAAAATTAATTAAAAGTGTTTGTGAGATGTTTCGAGCCTGCAAAAGCCGTATACGCTTTTGGTAATGAGCATGCTGCTCTTGTCTCATGTTGGAGGAGGCACTACAGCCAGCAATAGATCTGCTGACGGGAGATGGTTGAGGTTTTTTGGTGAGGATATTTAGCAAAACCGTGATTGATTGTAGCGCTGAGTCAGTGTGCAGCTTGGGTGGGAGCCCCCATGTATTTTGTTTCCTGCTGTCAGCAGTGACACGAGTGCCATCCATGAATCAACCTGTATTATTTTACATCCAAGATTTTTAAAAAGGTCCAAGACTGCAAGTTATCTGACACATCCGTTATTTTGATAATGTTATAAATTCTTCCCATCATTAAGAATCTCATTCTGACGGGAAGTCAGTCATTGAAAAACCATGCAGAAATGCAGCTGATCGAGCGCATCGCTCTGTCATGTGCCCCTTCTGTTAGGACTTCAGGGATCTTAGCACATGCTCAAATGCTATCCTGCAAAGAAATGAAGACCTCAGACACAGAAATCCAGACACGTATAACTGTTCCTTTTTTTTTTTTTAATTATTATTTTCTTAATTTTGACTGATGTACACTCAGGGCTGAGTTCTTGCAGTACTTAACCTCCTACTACTTTTGGGTCATTTTAATAATGGGAGAGTACCACATCCTTTTTGGTACTGACACTGAATCCTCTCAAAGGCTTCACAAACACTTATGAAAAATGTGCAAGACTTAATGAGATGTAATAACTGTTTTATGGACTTTTTGAACTTTCCTTTGTTGTCATCTTTGAGAAAGCTTTATCAACCCCTATGTATGTGAATGTTTGCAAGTGCAGGAATATAAAAAAATAATATCAATCAAAATTAATTTGATTGTTTCAGGGTTATTTCAAGTAGAATGTGACTTATTTTTTTAATGAGTCTTTTTTTTTTTTTTTCTGTGCAGTTTTTCATTGTTTTGCAAATAACATTGTATGTATCTTACAGGCATGGGAACTTAGGAGGCTTTGTCTAAGCCAGAGTCACTGAAGACCTTGGATTCATACTGCCAAGTCCTGGCTGTTGGGCACTGGCAACGATAAGCCTCCCCGGAGCCTCTGAAAGTGTATCCTGTACTTTATCCTGTACTTCCCTCATAAATAAATCCGTTGTGAAATTAGTGCTTAAAATGTGTTCCGGACCTGAGCCAGGAGGCTCAGCACCTTGCAGCATCATGCCCCAAATTCAGATAAATCCCATCAAAGATGCAAATTGAAGATTGGTTGGACATTAAGACCAGCATCTTTCATTTCATGAATGTCTATATATACATACTTTTAATATTTGGCCACTTAAAATATTCATCTAGTATTTTCATTCTGTTACTCTTCACTAATGCATTTTTAAACATGTTCTCTTGAATCAGCCCAGTCTCCTCTTTCATGAATCCTTATCTCTGTCCTATGGGCATCTATATCCCTGCCCTAATGTTCCACTGTACAAGTACTGAGCTGTTCATAACCCTAATCATACAAAAACAGATGATTCATTACTGAAGTGGATGAAAGAAGGCATTAAATATTGGCATAAAGAGAAAAGATAAACTGGTAGTGGACGGTTCATCTCTATTAGCTAAAGTGTTTGGGGAGACCACAGAAATAAACCTAGGGTTATAAATATTGCCCTTGATTAGGAACCTGCAATGAAATCCAGGAGAATGAACTTCTGTGCCCTATTTAAGCCAGCAGTCTGCCTGCGTGGCTCTCACTGTGGGATCAGGGCTGATTAGAGCTGGAACATGGTGCAGCTGCCCTGGGTCCAACAGCTCAGGGTTTGGGCTTGGTGTTGCACTGTATTAACTGCGGGCATTCACAGTCATGAAATAACTCAGGAAATAATGAGAGCTAAAAAAGTCTTGTGGGCTCTCCTGAACTGCAGTTTGGACATTAGGGATCTTCATCTGTCAGCTTTTCCTGGCAGGTAGGAGGGGGTTTAAGGGCTTCTTTTCTTTTCTCTTTCTTTTTTTGAGACATAAGGAAGCAGAATTCACTAGACTTAGGGAGCGGAGGGCATAATGAGAGGATAAGATCTTGTAAAACTTCTGATTAAACAAACAAATGGAAACAGGGAGAAAAGAGATAACCCTACACTGAAGAACCGCTTTCCTGCTCGAAGAACATCAGTGACTCAAAAGGTAATAAATGCAGGCTGGACTCCAGCACTGTAAACCATGCTGGTCTCACGTTAGAGCTAGGGGACAACGTCTGGGTGACCAGACAAGTTTCCCATGAAGGCATCAGCCCAAATCCTGAGGACAATCCTTAATCGAGCACCGGGGGCAGAGCAGGGAGGCCAGGCCCACCTGCCTGCACTTTGCCATCACCAGGGCCCACAGCTGCAGGTGGTTGGCGAGGGGCTGGGGGATAAATGAGGAGCTGGGGACAAGGTTTCCCCTCCAGCAGTGTGAGGGGCAGTCTGCACCAGGCTTGTGGGGTATTGCCTGCTTTGTGCCTGCCTTGGGAAGCACGCGGAGCTGCTGCTTTGGCCGTGAGGCCCTGCTGTGAAGCCTGCATGTGTGGCTCGGCTGGTGAAGGTAAGGTGTTACTGCTCGCTTCTCTGGGCGGTGGGTGAGGGTGTTGTTGTAGCTTTGTAATGTCCTTGGTACATGTAGCAGGCTTGTGGTATGCTGTGTTCGGTGCATTGTACTTCTGTGTGGTGGAAAGCAGTCGCTGGGTGGTTTGTAAGGGTCTGAGGCCTGGAAGCGGCCTCTGGCCTTGAACCCCCTCTAGGCTAGGGGCTGGGGTCTTCTCTGGAGAAATTCTCTGGAGAACAGCAGCAAGGTGAGCTTTTCAGGTGGGAAGCACCTTAGAGCTCAGAACAAATGTGTGGGGCACGGTTGTGTTCCTGCTTGTCGCTCAGGTGGTTTCTGAGCTGCGCTTCTCTGCCTGTGTCATGTTCAGCTGCGTGCTGTGATGTAAGGCAGCCCTAAATTATAGCAAACCAACGCAAAACCCAGCCTTCTTCATCTCTCTGCTGCGTGGGCAGAAGCTCATCTGGTAGCCTGCAACAAAATGCCTGGGCGAGTAGCGAGCGGGGAGGCTGCGCAAACAGCTCCTCCTGGGGAGATGCTGCGATTTACTGAGTCGTTAAGAAATAATACTGGGTGTATCGCTCCCTCTTGTTCCCTCCGCACGTAATCAAACAGAAAACATGCAACATAATCTCATGTGTTTGAGGGGAGGCGTAATGGCTGTCAGAATAAACACCGGCTGTTTTTAAAGGAAGCGAACCTCTACACTCCCTTGTCTCCTCAGCTGACTGTCGTACCCTCTCCTAAGAAGTGGCATTGAGGGGGGAGCCTTTACAGAACTAATTTAGTTAAAATTTACACTCCTTAATTTTTGTGCCTCGTCTTTTCCCCCTTCTAGTTTTGTAGCTATGATGCAGTATTGATCCAAAGATCTATAGGATCATACCATGGCTCCAGGTGGGTGGCAGAATTGAGGCTAGGCTTCATTTCCATCTGAATGGTGCAGAAAATAATTCCCCTTTCCAGCTTTTATTGTTCAGAACATTGCATTCGTCTCATTGCAGTGTATGGGAATTAACTCTGGAGGAAAGAAATCTTTTTTTTTTTTTTCCTCCTTGATGTAGAGTGGAGCAGAAGGATTCAGGAAAAAAAAGTAATGTAGGAAAGCAGGCAGCAAGCTCATTGCTGTCTGAATTAGGTGGGCCTGGGCTGCTCTAATGAAATCGAACTCCTCATCTGGGGTTCAAGTGGTGTTTCTGTGGACTGGGACAGCTTTCTGCAGCAGCACTGTGTTAAATCCAGTGCAGGAGCATGCGGTTGTTCAGCTCAGTTCCAGGTGTCAGCAAGGGGACACACGAAGGAACAGCACAGGGCAGCAGGGGGTAGAAATATTTGTGGCTGGAAACCACCTCTGTGCCATCGCTGGTACCCAGGCCAGCTCAGGATGTCTGTGTGAGCCTCTCTTGTTTGGATCACAGACCTGCTCCTGCATCTCCAGCTGTCTGGAACAAACTCCTGCTGTATCTGAGTGCACGGCACAGCTGGAGCTTGGTCCCCACTGGGGCTCTGCTAACTGCTGTCCTGAGGCTGTGTGTGTTTTGCAGAAAAGCCCCAGGCTATATTAAATTCCGACTTCGGAGACCAAAGGAACCTGCTGGCTTGGGAGCTTGGCAGGTTGCTTGAAAGTAATGAAACTATGTGGAGGTGAATTTGTAGGTGGGAGAGAAAATAAGTGGCAGTGGAGCAAGAAAGCGTGTGCCTATTCCAGATTCCTTTCATGGTGTCTCCCTGATGTGTGCAGAAAGGCCACCACCAGGCTGGAGAATAAGAGATGATTAAGCTGCTTCTTGTCAAATCTTGTGCTCATTCTCCTTTAAAATCTTGTCTTGGTGATGGGTAGCAAGTTGCCTGCTTCTTTTTCCCCCACCCTAAATAAATGACAGGTGTGTGGCTCAGTGATTGAGGATAGCAAATGGAATTTAGTAAATCAGAAGTAATTTCTCTGCAAGAGGAGTAGGCTGCCACCTGCTCGTGAACTTGGCCACCTCAAGTCACACTTCAGGTATTATATTCCGCTTAACAAAAAAAAAAATCAACAGTTATTTCCTCCTGAAGAGGGATTGGGCAGAAATTCAGTGCTGTGCCAAGGAAATGTTGCTCTCAGGAAAATTCCTGTGCTTATGAAGCATTTACTTCTACTATCAGATAGCTGCTTCTACTGCCTGGTGTCACTGCAGTCAGGATGCTTTGTGAGGGCAGTGGGGTTTTCTTCCCCATCCCTTTTTTCCCCTCCTACTGGTGCAGATTGTCCCACCCCTGGGGGTTACTGCCTGGGCAGGTGTCCTGCAGCACTAATCGCATTAGCACCCCGAGCAGAGCCTGCTTCAGTGCCTCTCGGTGAGTGTTTGAAATGCACCAAACTCGGGCCGTAGGATTTGTGTGTTCTGTCAATGACAAGTGGAGCAAATATTGACAGTGCCTCTCAAAGACTCCAGTTACTATTGCTCTTGTTAATTCAGGGCAAAATTTATCCTTGTGCCAGAGCCCCGTGTTAGTTTGTGCTATTGAAACAGCTGGCTGGTGTATGGATTAGTTGCTTTGCCCATTTACTTTGTGCTCATAATTTGTGCCACTGTAAAAGTTTCAGTGTCTCGCTCTATCTTGTAATCCAGGGTTTTGAGGACTTGGAATCATTGTAGAGGTCTGTAGCACAGAGCCAGTTAATGACACAATCCCAGTTTCACTTCAGTTGCCCTGATCTTGGAAGGCCTCAAAGGCTTCAGGAAATGGAAGGAAAGGAGTATGTGGAGGCTTTTTGTTTGAATTATGTGCAGGCTAAACCATAGGCTTCAATGCACAAGGCTTCCTTGGGTGTCAAATCCTGTGAAACTTCCATAGACTTTCTTTTGACTTTCATTTCTTTAAATCAGGAATGTGGGGAGGTGGAGACCAGGTTTGGAAGAACCAATTAGTTGTTTTCCTCCTGAAGCTAACAAAATTCTGGGTAATGCTTTTTGAAATTGTCTCTCTTTAAGAGACTCCTCGATTTACAGGAAGAGAAAACAACTAAGAAACAGGCATGGAAAAAAACCTGGATTAAACTGTCACTCATATTCACAATCTGTCCAGGAAACTCATCCATGCCCCTACAGGTAGCTAGTTATCCCATCAGGAATTTCGTATTTTTGTCTGAATCCTGGAACACAAATTGGTCCAGCGCTATGGGTCTGCCTTGATTAGGGTCTGCTGGCACAGATGTCCACAGCATGGGTCCCGAAAAAAGCCTGCTCAAATAACTGCTTCCTTCCCCAAAGGGATCAAAGGTTGAGATGGTCTTTCCAGATCTTTAGCTAGACTGTGCAAAGCATCTGCAAAGTTTAATCCTCTAACCTTCCCTCCCTTTTCTTTTAAGGCTGGTATAAATGGAATTTAAGGGTTTATCTTTTTTTTTTCTTTATAGAGAACAGCTATTATTTGTAAAGAACCCTTGAAAAAGAAAGCGCAACCTTCTCTTTCTGAGAGACAGTTGGATTTTGGCTACTCTGTCAAGGATAAAGCCTGGAATATCTCTATACACTTGTGCAAATATCTAATGTTGACATCTTTTGCCAGCTGCTGTTGTGGCTTCCTTTTCCTTGATGAACCAAATCCTCTTGTGATGTGGCCTCTGAGCATCATTATAATTAAAAGAATTAAAATTCAATTTGAACTATTGTCGTTACACAATGCAAAGTTCAACGCCACTGAAGGCTGATTTTATTGATTCTGTATTGGGTCCTCCGTGGAAATAAGTCGCCTTGACACAAGCGTGGTATTGGCACTAGAAGGCACAAGTGGTCTGGCTCCAGCCCTTGCTTTAATTTTAGTTTTAGTGGCAACTCGCACAAACTTGTACTGGTGTTTCTATATTAAAGCTTTTTCAAGATCATTTCAGTTATGAAATTATCTCCAGATTAAATATAAGTATATATAAATATAAGTAATATAAGGTTTTCAGCCCTGGCAGAAAAAAACATGTATGGGAATTAAATGCTCCCATGCTTACTAGGAATTGCAGTTGTCAGTGGCAGCAAGGAACTGGGCTCATCCCTGTGCTTTGAATGTTTTTTTTTTGCTGCTTTTCCCTTGCACATTTACTGCTTAAACCTGCATGTGTCTTTTTTCTTCTCTTTTTAAGAGCAGGCTTAGGAAATTCAGATTAACTTGAGTCTATTTCATTAAGAAATGACCAACTCTCACCATCAGATGTTTATTCAACACATTTATTTGCATGTGGCTGAGATTGAATATTGACCTAAAATCATGTCTTCTCAGGGTAAGATGCTTTCTTCAAGCACTGGTGAGAATTGTTCTTGTTCTCCAACTGCTTCCTGTAGCAGAGCAGCTGTAGTTGGTGTTTGATACAGGAATGGCTTGCTCAAATGCTACAGCAGGCTGGGATGATATGAGGGCTAAAGTATTGATAGGGAAACTGGGTGTGGGGAGCGTTGAAATTCTGGCAGCCCTGTGCCTGTGAGGTTAGGGATGTGAGGTCTGGGTTGACCTAAGTGCTTTGTGTTGAGTTGGGGGCTGCCCAGGCGTGAAGGAGTTGCACTGCTTGGGGTTCCTGGGGTACCACGAAGCAAGACGGAGGGCAGGGAACACAGTGGCCTTCCTGTTAATGTTGTATTCAGCACTCCTGAGCTGTGTCTTCGAGAGGGGGGGGAAAAAGAGCTGGTTGGAAAGGAGAAGCCTTACTGGTTGTGTTGGCAGAAGTAGCAAACTGCCTGGGAAGACCTTGTTTTCCTATTATGTGGCTGCTGCTCAGCTCATTGCTATCTCATTAGCAAGGAGTTACCTAATTAGCAAGGCAAGCTGTTAATTGTGTTTTGCGTTACTCAGCTTTAAAAATTCTTTTAGATGCTAAAGATTTTAGTGATAAGGAATTGCCACAAAACTGTTTCTGTTCAGTGTAAATTTCTTTCATCTGCCAGAACAGGAAAAAAAAATCACAAAGGGTTGTAACCACTGCAGATTGAGGAAAAAGGGACTGAATTTCTCGTGACAGAGCTGGCACTAATGAA